GTTTCCTTGACTGCCCCCTCCAGAACCTCCCTGGCCCCCTTACCCTGCTGCTCAGAACAGGGTGTTGGGCTCTGTGCGAGCCGAGCCGGACACGTGGCTGCGTTCCCCAGCACAACAAAACCTGGTCCCTGGCCCTGCACAGTGCTGCTGGACCGGGCTGCAGGGGAGAGCTGCCTGCTCAGAATGCAGGGCGGATCCGGCTCCTCTACAGCTGCTCCGGAGTCCAGCCCGGGACTTTCCTGCAGCCCTGCCAGCCGCTCGCTCTGCTCTGCCGGGGGAGGGGGGAAATCCCGGACATTTTGAGTGCTTTACAAATACCCCCCGGACGCTATTTTTAGAACAAAAAGGAGGACATGTCCGGGTAAATCCGGACGAATGGTAACCCTAAGCGTCCGAAGAATGCCAGGCTGGTTATTTCTGTTCCTTGTACACACTATACAAAGGCTGACTAGGTTATAATAAAGGGTCATGAGAAAAAACAGACTAAAATGCAGCCAAATTAAGCAAAGTCACCCAAGTGGCAATGGCTCCCTCCTCTGCCCATCTTACCTTTTCTTCCCTCGTAGCCCCTCCTCCTTCGCCAGTGTTGGTGTCACGAGGCTGCATCTCCAACACGGTGCGGAAGAGTTTCTCTGAGGTCTGGGTTAAGAAGCCGATTTCAGCATTCGGATGGAGACCATACAGGTACGGAGACTCGGCAGGCAGGGCATCGTCTATGTACTACACAGGAAGATCACACCTCCCATTATTGTTACGTACAGGGCCAGGGACTTTACACTTACTGATCGCATTGATGGGCTGGACAGCCACCACACACAGTCTGCCCAATGCAGCGTATTCAGCTGGACTGACGTGCGGTGCTAACAAACTGCTAGGAAGCAGAAGAGTGGAATTAGTAAAGCCGCTGGAATAATAATCATTTCTGCCACAAGAAAACAAGTCTGGCCATTGTTGCAGGATGTCTTGGCTACATATCTCAGAGCTGAGCTTCTTCTACCTTTTCGTTTGCTACACATTTGGGCATCAATACCCTGACCTCTTTGCTGGGAATTTCACTTCCAGGAGTAGAGATCGTTTCACCAGTTTTATGAACAAAAACGAACTAATACATCAGCCCCTGCTGCTGCCTCTGCACATAAAGAACGGATGAAATCAGAAAGTAAACATCCAAGAGTCTTGAGTGTTTCTCATCAGATCCAATGCTAAAAGGAGCTTGAAAGGGCCATTTTAGCAAACGGTATGCGGATGTAATTTTCCACTAGACCTGCTCAAGTCCCAAGAACCAATACAGTTGTTCTATTCATGCATGAACAGAAGAGCTCATGATGAAGTATCAAATTACCATTAAACTTGGCTCATCCAAGGGGATGCTTAACAGTCTACAGAAAAAGAACATAACAGGAAATAATACAAGATGAGCTGGAACTCTGCAATCCTATTCACTGTCTCCTATGACAGATTAAAAGGTGATTATGGAGGACATTAAATTCAGCAATATAATTAATACCAGCAAACAAAGAGGCTACCTGGTGATAACCATTGTAGTCCATGTTCCCCGGGAGAGGAAATCCTGGAGCTAGGAAGAGCTCTCCCTCCAGCATTTCTGGCTTAATAAATTCCTCCAAGTAGGTTTTGCAAAGTCGTCTGTCCCAGTCATCTGTGATGTGGCCTCCATACATAATCTCACCGAAGAGGTAGCGCAAATCGTCATAGGGGACCTAAATAATGAACCAAGAGGGCATGAAAGAGTCCACGCAGATGCAGCTCCACTGACCTCATCATGGGGCCGCAGACTGGAAAGCAAAGAACTGATCTACAGGGTGAATGTTTTCATTTCACCAGTTCATTTTTCTAAGTAATTGAATATCATGTAGCAGTTAAATCACACCATGCAGGAGAGCGGCCCAGAGAAATCCAGCCTGCAGAACAGACTTTGTGGGGTTTCCCCGATGAGAAGCGAATCTCTTTGAAGTTCCATACATTAAACATAGATGTCTAGGCAGCCAAACATTTCCAAATATTGGCCCTAAAATGGCAGGGAGGAGACTCGCACATGCCAGAGCTGATATTTTATCTAAGTGTAGTTTGTAAGCTGCAACAGATGCAAGTGGAGCAGAGGCCGCTCTGTATCCCCCTAAGATACACTGAGTTCTGAAGCTAGAAAGCCTGATGATGCCGGGGAATTGGCATTTAGTGAAAAGGATTTCAGATGTTTCAACAGACGTGTAATAAGCATATGGGCTACAATCTGCACACAGAGCCAATTTCTTTGTTTCACGCACCTTTGAATTGGCCTCCAGGTAATTGTACAGCACGTTGACTGAGATAGTGAGGTCTCCAGTGTTAAAGGGGTAGGAGCGGTTCCAGCCCTGGGGCCCAAACTTGCGTCTTTCTGCCACCACGGCATGGAAATAACAGAGGGCGAACAGGATGCTTTTGAACTCGTTCTCCCGAGCACACATCTCCAGGGTGTCCTGAAATGGAAACAGAACAGCAGTGTTGTGCATTTCCACCATACCTTCCATCTCAGGGCTCTACCTGGGTTGCAAACTCTATTGACTACAGGGTATGGCGAACCCTCTCAACCAGTGGTCCTGCAACGTGGCACCCTCATCTACTCATTTCTGAAGCATCTAAGCAGTTTGGGGTTTTAAATGAAGGTTTTTGCCCATATAGTACTGAACAAACCTTCCAGATGTTCCCTGGTGCAGTGAGGAGTGCCCAAGTCTGTAGACAACAGAGCTAACTGTGGTGCAAAGCTTGGGCAGAATGCATGGCCTGGGTGGCTGGGCTGGGCCCTGGTGAATTTCACCAAGGCTGGGGGAAGAACCTCGCTTCACCACATACATACACTTCACAGCCCCGCTCCAGCCTCAGCCTCTCTGAGCTCTGATTAACTCATGAATCAGAGAAGGTCCCTGGTTTCTATGGGACTGGACATAGCAAGGAGGGAATAAAACCAAAACACACAAGCTTTCTATGTTACTGCAATATTAAATACCCCCTGAAGCACTGAGCGGGCAGGTCTGGCTATTGACTGCAGAGCTCTATTATTGAAGTTATCACGGGGACAGCAGAAAGTTTGGACAACCAGGGCTTTTGGTCCCTGGAAAGGTGAGGGGGTAGCTTTGGCTTTTGGCTCCCATGGGGAGTTTAGACCTTTGACACTGAGAATAGACACATCTCCCCCCCTCCCTTGTGCATAGTGATCGAGGGGACCTGATGTTCTTTGCTGTGCTTGAATTCCTTGTTCCTCATCTCACTAGCTCTTACAGCAACTTAGCTGCCTTGCTCTCCTCTGCCCCCATATCTGCTGCTGCACCTAGCAATAGTGGATGAGCACTTTAGCTAAATGTTTCCACTGAAATGATCATCAGTGAACTGGCACCACATTGAGATCAACGGAGCAGTTCACATCTCTTCTACAGGAGTGCTTTAAGCAGACACTGCTGCTGGGGTTACACAGAGGTTTCTCTCAGAGGTTTCTTAACCATGGCAAGTGCTACACATGAAAGCTCTGGATTTGGCAAATGATTCTTTGGTCACAGAATCATGGGACACGCAGGGCTCCACTTTGACTCCTCAAAACTGCTGTCTGTCGGGGACTTCTAGAATGCTTCAGCCTTCCCCTCCCACCCGTCCCAAACCATGCATGCATTTGCCCATTGGCAGTCAGCTGGCTGCAGACTGGCAGGATGAGTTGCCAAGGGCTCAATAAATGGATTAAAAGCAAAGAGATTTAGTATTGAGGGCTCCAAAGAGTAGAGAACAACCCAGAGCCTTTCACCCCTGCCTCAGCCCCTGGGTCTGAGACTCCTGGCTTGTGAATTGGCATTGCCCACCTGCCATAACTATGGGCCTCTGTAGCAGGTGTGCCTACAGTACTGTCTCTGCCTGCTCTGACTAACGTAATCTGCCACATAGACTGGCTGCCTCCAAACCCCTTGTGTTCTGAGCTCTACGGGTGACTAGTGCCTGCACAGCTGACTAGGAACGAGGGGTGCGACAGGCCAGAGCAGAAGTCTGAGTCGGGGACAGAGAACCAGCTGGGAGTCACAGTTGTAACAGAATCACTGTAGCACTGAGGCCTGAAAACTAACTCTTTGGTTCTCCAGGGTTTCATTAGCATTATTTACCCTGAAGGAGCTCAGGGCCAGAGGAAAGAGCAGTACATTACCTGAGAGGGGCTTCGTTTCCATTGATGATACATTCTGAGAAAAACAAGCCTAACTGCCCTCTCTCTTCTAGCGTGTTCACCTGATAGATACGACCTTATTGTACTGAGCACACACCCAGCATGTGCCAGTAGAAACTGCCAAGCAGTGGGGAGAATAACAAAACTGGACCTCTGACCCTACACACTGACAGCGGCTCTGCTGCCCATCTTCCAGGCTGCGCTCTGGATAGTGAGTAGGTAATGGGCAGGCTTGGAGGTGGAGGGGCAGAGAGCCTGAGTCATTTAGTCAATGAAGAGGAACAAAGGAAGCCAGCTTTCAGGGCTGAGCTGGGAGCATGCAAGCGATGGCTCAGAGATAAGGCTTTGAGCAGGAGGCGAGCCGGCTGCATCCATCTCCAGTGGAGAGAGTCTCTCTCACAGCAAGGAGGGAATAAAACCAAAACACAGAGCCCTGCACTCCAGCAGCACCTAAACGTGAGGGAATTGGAGCCCTCCCAGGAGGGAATTGTGAGCCCGATCCTACTCGGGGTGGGAGGCCCCGTTAATTGAAAGTGGGAGCAGATTCCATCGTTCCCAGCTCGGCTGGGCACCCGTTCCGTTGTGACTGTCACCTTGTTTCCCCTTGTGACTGTCATTGCAGCTTTTGACTTAAAGCCAGAGGAGCTCAGGAGTTTCCGCTGTAGCTAAGATGCCATCCCCCCACTGTGGTTTCTGGCACACCAGCACAGAGGTACGGCTCTACACTGCTTCTGAAAGCTGGTCTTTCTGTTGGTCTCCACTCCCTTCATGCACCCATGTCATGGTAATGGCAGCCACGGGAGCTCCCTTTTTGCATTGGAACTGTGCATTGGAATCCAAGCTGCTATTTAAAAATATTTCTATTTTTTGTGATTGGGGAGAAAACCTTACAATGCGACCCTGGTGTAAGCCAGAGCAGTGATGTCTGCCTGAGTCTGCAGTCAGCCTGAATCAATAGCTCAGGGAGGAGTGTATTACCCATTCACCTCATTGGGGCATTCACATGGAAAGCTAATAACTATTTTAGTGCCTGCCTTGTTAACTATTTCACTGCTGATTTTTTGGGCAGACACATCCAGCCCACGTTTTCATCCCACAATCCCAAATGGCCTTCCATATCTCCTCAGTGCCAAAACTTCCAGCTTTGCACTGACAGACTCTCTGATGCAGTTGTGTGTTGTTGATACATTGAGAACTGAAGATGGGGGGTGAGGTTAGCATAAAATAAACAAAATTTAATAGCAAAATACGTCAAACAAAGGGTCACTGTACTGATTATATGATTCAACTTCACACCCATTCATTAACAATTTCCATTTCTTAAGTTACCCAACTCTGCAGCAGATTCCCAGGCTGCTGCACTGCACCACTGCAGAATTCAGGGACCTTGCTAGAGAATGGAGGTCCCGCTTGCCATGCAATGTGCTGATCCTTGTTTAATGGGAATCAGGCTTGGGCATCATGAGCAATCACTGCCCTGTTGTCCCCTCAGTTAGGGAGTAGCTTCTAAACCCCCTCGGTTTTTAGGGCGCTGCTTTGCAGATATTACAAAAGAACAGGGTCAAAGCATCCTACTACGCTCGGAGCCCATTCTTTCCTCCAGCAACCTCCCAGTGGGCTTTTGTCTGAATGAAACCTGAGAAAGAATCTGGCTCGTAGCCTCATTTGGCCTCTCTCTCTATTTAATCCCGACCTTTTCTTTAGCTACAAAACCAGAACAATATTCCCCGTGTACAATAATAAGCCGCCTTTGTAGCTTTCAGCTGAGCTAAATTTGAACATCCATTCCGTACGCTGAGCAAGAACGGAACACAAAGCAATGAAATGAGGTGTAAAGGTTCTCCTCCCACACATTGCAGGATTTTGTGATAAGAGGCATTTTATAATGCTCTAGCAATTTAGAAAATGTTAATTACTATCTGATTGAAATGAGTACAGGCAGGATGAAAACATTACTTTGGAGGAAGGTTCCCCCCTCCCCTGATCTGTGGGACTTTCTGTGCAATTCAAAATGATGAATGGCAGTGGATAAAAATGGAATAATCTTCACTGACTGTTCACATTAACCCCTGCCTGGAACCTCCCACCTGCGCCTCCCTGGAGACTCCCTTCCTTACACTGCAGACGCCTTCAAAATCAGAGCATCTAACAGAGTACACATGACGCAGCACCTTTGCCTGACAGGACTGGCTCCCCTTGTGCCTCCCGGGCTGCAGGCTACACTGCAGCTGGCCCTGAACTACTACATGGGGGTGCACCCTGCAAAGCTTGATGCTTGTGCTCCTAGTGAGCAATGACTGGCCATGCCAACAGTAGCCTTAAAACCTTCTCTACTGGCCAGCAGCACCATGTGGGCACCTTTTAAGGAGCATTCTACCCGCTGCTCTGACATGCATAGAAGCAGCTGACAAGGTCAGAATGCCTCTAGGGACTGCTCTGGGGCAGATGGCCTCTATCCCCCTCACTTCCCACAACATGGGCTCTAGCTGGGAGACCTCTGCATGGGTAAGCGTGACTTCACTGCCCAGCTGTGAGTGGAACAAGGCAGCTGCTCTGCACCAGCTGGTGATCCAGGGCTGCCTTAGGATAAGTGAAGAATAGCATGGGGATTTAGGGAGACAGAATACAGCTAGCCAGCTGGGATTTGGCTAAGCCTGGGGATAACGCCCCAGTCTCTAGGGAAAGATGCCATAGGATTTTTGATAAACATGAGTGGCCAGGGCCTCGGCTTTATCTCATCCACAAGAGAGGACAGGCAATTGCACAGCAGTCCCTAGCACAGAAATGGCATTGCCCCAGTGCTGACTCGAAGCGAAGACAGCTTTCGACTGAATCTCCATACCAGTGCCCAGGGTTTTCCTTGTAGGCTCCCGTCCAAACAGTGCCTATCACTCACAGCTATCAAGTTGTTCCCTCTTTATTTAAATATAGACCTGAAAAATTAATCTAATTCAGAGTCAGTCCCTATTCTCTGTACAGAGTCAAGAAAGAAGGCTCCACTGGTTAAAAAAACAACCTGGCTTAAAGAGAAAGTGAAAGCAAGTGTAAAAAATAAAAATATATTGTAGTAAAGTGTTCATTAAGGGGTAATTAGGTTACTTAGAATTTTATGCGTTGGAGTCATACTCCACCTTCTCCCCTTACTTGATTTTTCAGTTTGTGTGTTTTTTCCTCCAGCTGGTTTGTACATATTAGCACGTAGCAGTCCCTTTACAAAAAAATGTGTACAACAAATGGAAGAAAGTGGAATTTGATAGCAATGAATATAAATCAGAAGCTAGGAATTGTACAAAATTGAAAAGGGAAGCAAAAGGATTTGAGGAGACATCTATGGCCAGCAGAGAGAAGGAGTTTTTCAGGTATATTAGGAACAAAAATAATCCTAACAATTATCAGGGGGTAGCCGTGTTAGTCTGTATCTACAAAAACAACAAGGAGTCTGGTGGCACCTTAAAGACTAACAGATTTATTTGGGCATAAGCTTTCGTG